TAAAAAAAAAAAAAAAAAAAAAAAAAAAAGAAGAAACCAAAAACCTTACATCGAGAGGTAGCATTTCAAACCTAAGCACATAAATTACAGCAAATATTCCTGAATCTTTGATCAACATTAAGATCGTCTTACTCCCATAGGCTCAATTTAGAGGAGCTGCCTCAAATTTCAACTTTATTAACTTATGTCTGTATACTGTTGAATCAGGAGGGTTCCTGTTGAGCTCCATGACCTGAGACCCAAACCTCACTCAGGGTCTTTCATTCCTTTTTCAGTTAGAAATTATTCAGACTTCATTAATGTGATTTTAAAGGAATATTCATCAATACCGGTATATTCGTACTTTGTAGGGCTAATTCCACACACACACACACACGAATAGAGCTGAAAACATCTTTATCACTTTCTACATTCTTTCCTTGAACTTGGCTAGCTATCGAATGGAGTCTCTTTAATTTTAGTGTACATATTCTCCAGATGGTAGAGGATTAAAATACCAAATTCCTACAATGGGAAAGTTGCGTTATACACAAGAAAGAAGTTGAAGTAAAAGAGATTTTCCATTTGAAGGAGACAGCTACTCAGAACCAGCTGAGTGCCCCACGGATACGTGAGCCCTGTTTGGGCAGCCCTTGTAATTTTGTTTTTAAGCAAAAACTCTAACATGAAATTCCCTAACTTGAAATAGTGGCAACTAAGCATACATACATACAAAAAGTCCACTGTGCAGACAACCCAAAATATGACCCAGTCTACGAGATATGACCTTTGCCATGCTGAATGCTTACACTGCAATTGCAGGAAACTGTACTTGCTGCAGGCACAAATTGCAAAATATGTACTTCTATGTTGCAAATGAAAACTCAGGCCAGCTGTTTTCAGCATATGTTTCTTTTCTCCACACCCAATCTATTTTGGGGGCAGGGACCTAAGATTCTCATCGCTGAGTTAACTCAAGTTCAAGTTTTTTGGATTCTCAATCCCTTTAACCAAAAGTTAAAGTTTGGGGTGTTCTATCTTACTAGAACTTCCCTGAAAATAAACTCATTTGAGCTTCTCTGACTTGTTCCCATCACATTCCAGGGATTCCTGCACTAAGTGTTTAAAAAGTATTCAGCATTCTCACTAAAGCAGAAATCCAGTATCCTGCAAGAGAACAATTTTCTATCAGAGAAACAAGAAAATTCCAAAAAAATCAAAAATGAATATCTCTACAGCATCACAGTTATCAGACATAAGCCAGGGATTTAGCTCAGTGGTTCCGCTGCCTGCCTTGCAAGCGCAAGATCTCAAGTTCTATCACTGGTACCAAAAAACAAACAGACAAACAAACAAACACCTCAGAAATCATTAGTCCATTCCATTCACTCTACTGGCACAGAACCTAAAATTCAGAAAGGTCAAATGACTTGTACAAGGTTATGTAGTATAAGCTGGCAATATGAGACAATAACGTGAATCCAGTCAAGTTCGTTCCGTCTTGATACAGTATCGTGGAAGAACAGCAAGAGAGGGAAATCCTCTGAAGAAAGTCTCTTTTAGAATCGTTTCATATCTCATATTTTCTTCATTTTCCACATGGCTTTTTCAACTCGATTCCTATTCATCAACAGATGACATCCTTAAAATGAAGAAGGGTGAATGGAGAAGAATTTCTCTGGCTGCTAACCCACTGAAGTTGCAGTTATTAATCAATGCTGTGGTAGTTTACATCCCAGGTTTTCCAGTAATTTGGACTAAATTTCCAACCGTCTGCCCCATCTTCCTGTATTTGCAGAACTACTTTTTAGTGTGTGATACCCGATGTCTCATAAGGCTTGAAATACTTTTAAATTTTTTGTCACATTTATTACATTCGTGGTCGCTTGTTCTGGTATGAATTTTTACATGTTCTACAAGGATTGTGCTCCGAGCAAAGGTTGCTCCACAGAAGTCACATTCATAGGGTTTCTCTCCAGTATGAGTCCTGTAATGTTCATTAAGAGATGAACTCTGACTGAAGGTTTTCCCACAGTCTTTACATTTGTAAGGTTTCACACCGGTATGGCTTCTCATGTGACGACTAAGAAGGGAATGGGAAGAGAAGGCTTTCTCACATCTGTCACATTTGTAGGGTTTTTCTCCTCTATGAAGTCTCTGATGATAATGGAGAGTTGAAAAGTGGCTAAAAGTCGCACCACAATCGTTACACAAATATGGTCTTTCTCCAGTATGAATTCTCTGATGTCGTTTAAGGCAAGAAGCTTGTCTAAAGGCTTTTCCACATTCATCACACGGATATGGTTTCTCTCCAGTATGAATTCTCTGATGTTTGGACAGGGAAGAGCTATGAGTGAAGGATTTCCCACAATCATTACATTTATAAGGTTTTTCTCCAGTATGAATTCGCTGATGTTGATAAAGAGATGAACTGTCACTGAAGGGTCTCCCACACTCTTTACACTGAAAGGGTTTTTCCCCACTATGAATTCTTTGATGTTTAGTGACATTAGCTAGGGTGATGCCTTTTCCACAATCATCACATTTGTGGGGCTTTTCTACATTATGGTTTTTGTGTTGTGGCTTGAGCGATGAATTACTACTAAGAGTTTTTCTACATTCAGTACATATAGAGGGTTTCTTTCCAGTGTGAATTCTGTATTTGCTGGGGGGAGCACTAAAGCAAAAGGCTTTTCCACATTTACTACATTTATGAGTAGTTTCTCCAGTTTTAGTTCCCTCATCTTTATTTGAGGCTGCACCTAGTAATTCCTTCTGACATTTTAGACAGGTAGAGCTTTTTGTTTTAGAACGGGATGAACGTTGTGTAAATGTTATCCCACACGTAGTGCACTTCTGGGATCTAGTCCCCGAATTACTTTTCTTATATTTCTGATGTTCAGGGAGAGATGAAGAGCAATTTAGGTCCTTTCCAGCTTCACCGTGTTTCTCTGACTTTTCAGCAGTATGTTCTCTATGGTTCAGAACGAGATCTGAATGAAAACTGAAGGGTTTCTTGCATTCATTAAACTTTCTAGACTTCTTTAAGTAGGCTTTAAGATGTTTAAGTTTGTCAGAAGTCCGTTTGAGTTTCTTTCCAACGGGGCTCTTTTCTGGGTCTAGTTCTTCACCCTGATTGTCTCTCCTGTGAGTATTCTTTTGTATAACTGATGCTTTTGAATGTCCCTGTTTGTCAAGATTTTCCTTGGATTTCCCATAACATTTCCAGTATTCTGCTATCAGGCCACAACCATCATCTTTGAAACATTCTTCTACTATTTTCTCTAAAGTTAAATCTTCCATAAAAACATTACAGTTTTGAACCGACACCGGCAATTCCCCTTTAGGCTCACACTCTAAAAGAAATAACACATAGAACATTTCCTGTTTGCAATTAAAGAAGCTGATGTATTGAGACTGAAACAGAAATACACAGTCATGATAAGAAATACGGCTTAGACAGATTTCAATTTGTGTTCTATTGAACAGAGAAAAGAACAGCAATACAGGCAAGCAAGATAAGCACAAAGGTTAGGAAAAATATTGAGGAAGATGGGAAGTATATGCCTCATAGTTAACAGCCTTATGTCAAATTTCTAATTTAAACCTATTCTTCTTACATCCAAACTTTTCTCTTTCCAGGGCTGGGTGTTCCAAGTCAGTCTCAACTATATAGTGAGACTCTGTCTCAAAAACAAAAACAAAAACTAAAACAAACTTTTCTCTTCCCAAACAATGCTTTTTTTTTTTTTGTATCAGGGATTGAACTTGGGTCCTTACGCTTGTGAGGCAGGCACTGGAACCACTGAGCTAAACTGCCAGCCCAAACAACACTAATTTTAATATTTACTGCATACTTATCAAATGCCAGATCCACACCAAGCACTTTGTTTGCATTATTTTGCTTCATCTTTACCACAATCCAAGTACTAGGTCCTACTATTATCCCTGTTTTGTGGATGTAAACCTGGACACCTGACTGTAAGCAGATTGCCTATGGTCACATGAATTATAAGTAAGCTTGATTTTCAACCTAGTCTGACACCAAAGCCCATGTTTTTGATCCCTATACCAAATGGCCTCTTCTTAAAGCAGACAAAGCACTAATTTTATAGAAAATGTTAATCATATTACAATTATGCAATACCATGTGTGCTAGACATTCAAAGGTTATCACAACTTGGCCCTATCAACCATAAAGATACTCTACTCTGGCATACATTTCTGATCCCTATACACTGCAGGGCTTTTGCTCCTATTCTTTTGGTCTTAAGACTTCGTAGAACCTAGTATTTAATCTCAGAGCACCATCAGTACCACACATAAATTGGACAGGGGCTAGGCTTCATGTCCTATGGTCTGCAAGGAGTTTTCTCCAGTGCTGTACTCTGACTGTGCTCTTCTCAGATCTTTGAATTCATTTACTAACCATATCATTCACCTTGGTTTTTCATCACAAGGTCCTATCATTTTCATAAAATGATTTTAAACAACTATAAAATACAAACTCATAATCCTATTACCCAGAAATTAGAAAATGTTCAGTATAGTTTAGAATACAAAACTGTATGTGAAAAAAAAGAAAACTGTATGTGTATTCTTACTGTTTTTCATTTATAGCTATTTCCCATCCCATCAATGATTTTTTTTTTTTTTTGAGACAGGGTCTCACTATGTAGTTGAGACTGACCTGGAACTCACTATGTAGCACAGGCTGGTCTCCAACTCACAGTGATCCTCCTGCCTCAGCCTCCCGAGTGCTGGGATTACAGGCGTGCACCACCACACCTGGCTAAATGATTTTAATTAATCACTAGATATATGTTAGTTATTCCCTTAACCAACCTTTCTAACATACTGTTCTTTATTAATTTGCATTAGCATTTTTTGTTTTGCTTTTGGAAATAAGGTCTCTGTATGTAGTCCAGGATGACCATGAGCTCAAGGTGATTGTACAAGTACTGGGATAACAGGCATGAATCACCACACCTCGCTGATTTACATTAGCTTTTATATAATTATGGCTACTGACTCAAGTCCGACAAAAATTTTTTCTGCAATGTTGTAAGTGATTTTTTTTAAAGAAGTTGTATATCTACAAGATGCTTCCTCAACATAAGCATGTTGGGCAAGGGATATATTTTATAACAATGCTTCTATAGCTATCTAAAAGAATTTAGGAATCTATTTTTAGAGTTACTTTCCAAACTGCTATTTAGATATAACACGATTGTTTTTTGGTTTTGGTTTTGATTTTGGTTTTTGGAGACAGGGTCTCACTATGTAGTTGAGACTGACCTGGAGCTCGCTATGTAGCCCAGGCTGGTCTTGAACTCACAGCAATCCTCCTGCCTCAGCCTTCTGAGTGCTGGGATTACAGGCGTGAACCACCACGCCCGGCTAACATAATTGTTCTTTTAGTTATGTAATTATACTGGACATAGTCAAGAAATTAATTAAAATGAATGATTTAGAAGATGTAACAGACCAAGATAGATTATTGGTTTTATTCCTTAAAATAAACAAAGACGTTGATGTATTTAATGATTTATTTTTTAAAATGTACATTTAATACAATGTTAAGTATCAAGAAGATAAAAAGATAAAAGTAGGGCAATATAATACCTCAAAAGTAACGTAAGTGTTGGCCAGGCATGGTGGTGCATGCCTATAATCCCAGGACTTGGGAGACTGAGGTGAGAGGATTGCCCCAAGTTCAAGTCCAGCCTGGGCTACACAGTGAGCTCAATGAGAGCCTGAACTACAGAGCAAGATCCTGTCTCCAAAAACAAACAAACAAACAAACAAGTAATATCAGTGTTAACATGAATTTTCCTAGATATTAAAAATCCATATATTTAGTCCATATATTTAAACATATGTTCATATTTACAGTTTTTCCCCTTTTAACAATGCTGTCAACGGGATGAACTCCTACTTATCCTTCAACATTGTGCAGCACAGGCTTCCCCTTAAAAATCTTGTGGCTGACTGGGAGTTCTCACCTGTTGCCACTGCTCAGGATTCTAAGAGTATCAGACCACCTATTACTAGTCAAGAAAACGATCAGAAATTCAAAATTATAAGCAAAGTTCTTAATGAATGTGTATGATTTTCATACCATCCTAAAGTTAAAAAGTCTTAAGACAAACCATTTTATATTTGGGACCATCTCTACACTTCTTACAGGTGCTGTTATTATAGCATGCATCATATTACTCAAGAATTGCTTTAGTATCTGTCTTTTTGGTGTCCATCAAAAAGACTTAGGATATCAAAAGCAATTCTAGACAACAGAGATGTGGCAGGGGGTATCACAATCCCCAACTTGAAACTATACTACAAAGCCACTGTGATAAAAACAGCATGATACTGGCAAAGAAATAGACCCAAAGATCAGTGGAATAGATTAGAAGATACAGAAACAACGTCAGACATGCTCAGCTACCCCATTTTTGACAAAGGAGACAACCATCCTCACCGGAGGAAAGACACCTCTTTAATAAATGGTGTTACACACACACACAAAAGAGTGGCAAGCTTGTCTTTGCTACCCAGAGTACTGATTAGGCCCAAAGCTCAAAAAAAAGGTGTTGGAAAAACTAAATTTCAACCTGCCAAAGATTAAAAGTAGATCCATATCTTTCACCATGCACTAAACTAAAACACAAGTGGATTAAACATCTAAATATTAAAACAGAAACACTAAACTTGCTGGAAGATAAGTCAGGTAGTACTCTTGAAGACATCAGCACAGAAAAAGACTTTATGAACAAAACCTCAGTAGCATGGAAACTAGCACAAAGAATCAACAACTGGGATTTCAACTTATTAAAAAGCTTCTGCACTGCAAGAGAAACCACCAACAGAGCTAAAAGACAACAGACAAGGTGGGAAAAATTTTTATCAGCTGTTCCTCAGACAAAGGTCTACTATCTAGAATATACAAAGAACTTTAAAAAAATCAGACCTCTCAAATATAAAGAACAAATTAAAAAATGAAATGAACAGACATTTCTCAGACAAACAAGTAAAAGCAGCAAATAAACATGAAAAAATGTTGAACATCCCTGGTCATTCGAGAGATGTGGAGGAAAACAACACTGAGATTTCATCTCACCCTAGTAAGAATGGCTGCTAACAAGAAATTAACCAATACCAAATGTTGGCGAGGCTGTGGTGAGAAAGGAACCCTTTTCCATTGTTGGTGGGAGTGCAGACTGGTGCAACCACTGTGGAAATCAATATAGAGATATCTCAAAAAACTAGGATTAGAGGCCCCATTTGACCCAGTTATTATTCCTCTGCTGGATATCCTCCCAAAAGAATCACACCACAGTGATACATGTGCACCCACGTTTGTAGCAGCACAGTTTCTAATAGCTAAAGTTTGGAAACAGCACAGTTGTCCATCAACTGGAGACTGGATAAAGATGTGTGTGTGTGTGTGTGTGTGTGTGTGTGTGTGTGTGTGTGTGTTTAATGAAATGGAGTACTGGGCCGGGGATTTGGCTCAGTGGTTCTGCCACCTGCCTCACAAGCACAAGGGCCCAAGTTCGATTCCCTGAAAGAAATACATATACATACATACACACATACATAAAATGGAGTACTACTCAGCGAAAAAGAATGAGAAACTAGAGACATTTAGGGCTAAATGGATGCACACTGAGGCCATACCCTTAAGTGAAATAAATAGGACACACGTGTAAACACCAAATAGTTTCTCTGGTGTGAGAAACTAAAAGTGTAAATAAGGATCAAAATGTATAATTGATAACCTGGGTGTGGTGGTGCACACCTGTAATCCCAGCACTCGGGAGGCTGAGGCAGGAGAATCGCTGAGTTTGAGACCAGCCTGGGCTACATAGTGAGTTCCAGAGCAGTCTGAACAACATAGTGAGTGAGACCCTGTCTCAAAAACACCCCCCCCCCAAAATGTATAACTGATAATGTGAAATAGGAGGAAAAGGGGTAAAGGGGTAGGGGAAGTGGGAGCGGGAGGGAAAAATGGAAGAAGGGAAAGGAAAATATATGAGAAAAGGAAAAATATGGGAAAAAAGTCTTTGTAAATAGGGAGGGGTGGAGAGGTTGAAGGGAAGGAAGGGAAGTGGGGAAAAATAAGAACAAAGGTACATCATGTAAAAGTACCAGTTCCCAATGACGAATGCAACTGTACTGTATACCTAAAATGTATCGATAAACTTAATTTTTTAAAATGTACCTCTCAGATCTCCTGTGGAGGTAGTACTCAACATTCCCTGCTGCTACCATGAACCTACCTCTGCATTCACACCAATACTACTTTTCTATGGGCTGCTTCCTATTGAAGAGAGGTCACAGGGATAGTTAGATTCCTTTCAGTGAATAACAGGACTCCTCTGACAGGTGACTCTGGTTTAAGAACTCTGTGTTTTCAATAGCTGGGAGTGGTGGCACACACCTGTAATCCTAGAACTCAGGAGGCTAAGGCCAGAGGCCAACCTGTGAGTTTGAGGCCAACCTAAACTACACAGTGAATTCAAGGCCAGCTTGAATGACCTAGAGAGGTCCCTGTCTCAAAAACAAAACAACAAACAAAAAGACCCAACCAATCAACCAAACCAAAAGCAAAACCAAACAATCTTTCTCAATCCAGGTGTGGTTACACATTCTTATAATTACATATTCAGGAGGTGTGGGGTAGGAGGATTGCTGAGAGCAAGAGACCAGCCTGGACTATGTAGCAAATTCGGGGCCAGCCCAGACTATACACTGAGAGACCCCCATCTCAAAAAAACAAAAACAGGACTGGGGATTTAGCTCAGTGCTTCCGTCACCTGCCTCACAAGCACAAGGTCACAAGTTCAATCCCCAATACAAAAAAACAAACAAACAAACAAACAAAAAACTCTTCCTCACCAACCTTTCTTTCTTCTCTTTCTCATTCACAAGCATTAGACCTGCTTTATATTCTTAAAGCTCTTCTAGCTTCTCCCAACTCCCTACCCATTTTTCTTCACTGAAATTTGCTCCAATAAATCTCCTGCACGGTTAATCATATCTTGGTATCTACTTCTCAAAGGACCCCAAACCAAGACTCTCCCGTCCAAAAAAATTTCAGGAGCTGGACAGGGTAGTTGGGTTACATATTGAGTTCAAAGCGAACCTCAACTACATAACAATACTCTGTTTGAAAAAAAAAAATTCCAGTTGGTGCTCTGCTGGCACATCTGTAATCCTAGCTACTCATGACACTGAGGCCAGAGGATCACAAGTCTGAGACTGGCCTGCATAATTTAGTAGACTCTCTCAAAATTAAATTAAATTAAATTAAATTTTAAAAATAAAATTAGGGCTGAGGATGTTAGTTCAGTGGAAGAATACTTGGTAAGCATTCCCAAGGCCATGAAATCAATTTGCAAAATAAAGAAAAAAAAATCCAGAAAGCAAGTGATCTTTTCTAATCATCCTTATATTTTTGCACCAAGCCTGCCCAACATGTCAAAGACTCTTTCCAACTCACTTGATAAACAACTGTTTTCATTTCAACTTACCTGGCCTGGAGTCTTTTGAGAGTTCTTTTTCTATTAGTCTTGATAATTCAACCCATTTTAGCTGAGAAATCAAATCCAATTTAGAAACTGGAAAGCCTGATCATAGAGGAAAGAATAGAAAACAGTTAAGCACAGAATAAGACATTTCAACATGCATGTATAGCACTGGGCTGTCCAGGCAACAAAAAAGATGCTATCAAACACACAGTTCAATATTGGGATCAGATGAGGAAATGGGGAAAAGGAGGCTCCAAACTTCCAAATAATGAAGCAAAGATCTTTTGGGGTAGGAAATGTCACGGAAAAGTATAGTTTTTAGAATCCACTTTTTTTTTTTGGTGGTACAGGGGATCGAACTCAGGACCCTACACTTGCTTGTGAGGCTGGCACAGCGCCACCAGGCTAACCCCTGGCCCCAGAATCCACTTTTAAAATGAGTCATATCAGTTCCTGAATGCCCAGCTAATATAAAGTTTGGGAGACGGAGTCAGAGAGGAAGAGTTATCCATAGCACTTATCTTTCAATAACAGAGGATAGAAAAGATATGCAGCTTAGTTGCTAGAACATCAGGAAAGGACATCTTTACCCAGAAATTCGAGGTTCCTTAGGTTTTCCTGTAGCACATCCTTATACAGTTCCTTCTGAAAAGGTTCCAGCTTCTTCCACTCTCTTCTGGAAAAGGTCACGGCCACATCTTTGAACACTATGGATTCCTAGAAAATCAAACAGTCCTTTTGCTTTATATTACTCCCAAACAGACCTAAAGGATTCAGAAAAGTGGTTAGGATACAAACTAGCAGTTTTGATAGTATTTAGGTTTCAAAAACTCTAAAGCAAGCTACAGAGTAGCTGTTATATGACTATTAGAAGTGATTCAGAAGAGTAAACTCTGCCTTTCCCATTCAGTCTCTTGCGTTAAATACTGTACACATATATTAACCCTAGCCCTAACACTGAATTTAACCCTAACACACTATTTTCTAGGATTAAAAAGAAAATCTGAAATGAAGGTATGATGTGCATCTCCAAAGCCCAAAATTTCAGGATTAAAATAAGGTAACTATTCATACCACCAAATATCTTCTGCATTTCAACTTTCAGCTTATGTACAGCAATTATGTTCTGTGTTCAGTAACATACACATGGAGGTGCTTCATGTTTACAGACACGCACACTGACTCATTCCATTTTCTACTGCACATTCTGCATGAAATTTTGACAGGCAGTATAAGTGCACTATTAGTACCTGTAGTGGCTTCCTATGGATGTAATATCACAAACAAATTACCATAACCTTGGTGGATTAAAGCAATAGAAATGGATTCTCTCACAGTTGTGGAGGCCAGAAAGAGGAGATCAAGGTGTTGGCAGGGCTGAATTCCCTTTAGAAGCTCTAGAGGAGTCAGTTCCTGGCCTCTTACAGCTTCTGGTGGCTGCCACTACTCCTTGGCTCATAGCCCTGTCACTTCAAATTGCCTCCCTCTTCCTGTTATCATCTCCCAATTTGTGTATTCAAATTTTCTTTGCCTCTAATAAGGACATTTGTGATGGCATTTAAGGCCTATTTATTTATTTATTTATGGTACCAGGGATCAAACTCAGGACCTTACGCTTGCAAGGCAGTCACAGTGCCACTGAGCTAAATCCCCAGCCCCTAGGGCCTTTTTATATAACCCAGGATAAATTCCTTAGCCTAAAACCCTTAATTCAATCACACCTGTAAAGATCCTTCTTCCAAATAAAGTAACATTTACCAGTGCCATGGATTAGGATGTTCTGAAGTCATTATTGGATTACTTAGCACTATTATTTGCTTTTGTGAACAATTATTTTTCCTATTTAGTAATTACTAGTATATAGGAAACAATGATTTGTAACCAGCTGCCTTTCTCAGCTATTGCACCAGTTTCACAACTGTTCAGTTGATTCTGTGAGGTTTTCCAAATGGATAATATTGACTGGAGTATAAATTTGCTTTTTTCATACTAACACTTACATTCTCATTTTCTCTTACCTTATTATATTGGCTAGAATGCTCAGAAAATACTGATGAATAGCACAATTTTCCTGTCATTTTACTGATACTGTAAAGACTGCTTTTTATTTTCCAACACTGTCTAGATGGAGATCTTCATTAGTAACAATATATTCTATTCGTACCTAATTTTACTAGGAGTAACTGGTGAGTTTTAGGAAACATTCATGTTTAGTGCCAGAGCTGTGACACTGTGATGTCACATAAATAGCATGTGAAAATGCATTGTGAGTTCCCTGCATTATTTTTACTTATACTACTAAGAGCTTACTTAAGTATTCACTTGATTGAAAACCAGTTAAAGGAAACTTACACATGACTCAGTACTTGAAACAGCAACTGCTTTATCTTCTCCTGAGTTATCCTCTTGTTGAGCAGCAGAATCTTGAGCAGTTGCATCTAGAAAAGGGGGAAAAAGAATCAGTCCAGCTTTCAAATGGAATCTTCAG